TTCTTGTGCTCCACTGATACAAGATCTAGAAAGCTGTTTGAGAATACAGTAGAAGATCTTAAGGTATATAGAGATTCCAATCATACATCCAAACAGGAGACCAAAACCAGCAAGTGACCATACCACGACGACCAGGACGACGAGACGAAGAGATCGCCGTCGAGATCGCCGCCGCACGCGCCCACACGCGCCGCCGGAAGGTCCCAGTTGCTGAAGCTCAATCGCGCGCGTGAGAGCGCGTGGAAGGTCCGTTTTCCGACCGGTCATCGCCGTTGACTTCGCCGTGACGTCAGCTTTCCGGATTGGTCAAGTTTGTTCGATTCCGAGAAGATTTGATTTGCGGTCAACTGTCCGGGCCAGCCAGATCTACATAAATTTTAAGCAGTAAGTTTTCTTCATCAAACCTTTAGATCCGCTGCGCATAGGTTTATGTTGAATATTTGTCTGTGATTTGTGCATATCGAGATCCTCATGGGTTCCAACAGAGGTATGCAGGTTCGGAGCTTTGACCAGGTGTTCAGAATTTATCACGATGAGTTGTCCCACATATACAAGTACAAGCTCCAACTGTACAAAGCATGGGTTTCTCTTGTTCCAGTGGCCACGCATTTCTCTCGCGCCGCGACAACCCAAGTGACGCCCTTCACGGACGTACAGAGAGTCCTTTTCTTCCCCCGCGACGCGATGCAGCTCCACGCCGTGAAGACCTCTTCCTCCGCGCCGCGACGCAGCTGCCACGCCGTGAAGACCTCTCCCTCCGCGCCGCGAAACCACCACCACCCCGCGCCACTCGCCCTCTCCGCGCTGTGCCACCACTTTTTCGCGCCGTTTCATCTGCTAGTATTTATATGTGAGACGGGGACTTCGATCATATTATCTTTTTCTGGGAGAAACTTTAGAACCCTACCTATCATTCCTTTCATTCGTCTTTCATATTTCTTTCGTAGTTTTCACTATAGAACAAGGATTTGACTTGAGATTTCACTATTGCTTTCGGATTCAAGCTTGTTTATTGAATTCAACTTTGAGATTATATCAATCGTAAGATTTTCTTTTCATTTAATCGATGAATATGGATTAATTAGTTGAGATGATTATTTTTGTTGATTATTCGATTATGAGTAGCTAAATCCTTATGCTAGGGATAGGGAATTGATGTTTTGATTTTATTTGTGATTGTGGGTGTTTGTTGATTGTTCTTCTTATGTGAGTTGAGCTTTTTAAAAGGGTTTTTCAATTGTCAGGCTTGAGTATTGAGAATTGTTGAAGGGTGACACTTCAACTTTCAATTGTTTCACATGAATCGGATTTATTCGTGCTTGATATTGGTGATTCTATTTGATTAGTCGGTTAACTACCCTCTAGTCTTCTTTAATCGACTCTTAGAACCGAAAGGGGAAGAATTGATCGAAATAGGCTCGCATAAGCTAGGTTTGTTCGTAACTGTATTGCCTAGGAGTTAAATGACTTGTTAAATTTGCCGTTCTAGTTTGTTCTCTTGTTACGAAGAGTTAATGAGAATGAATATTTGAACGTGCAGGTTATTCAAATCACTTAACTGAACAATCACTTGCCCATTAATCGCAATTCGAACCAAAATGGATGTTCCTGACTCCCTAGTTTCTTAAATCCTGATTGTTCTGCGTTGTTGATTGCTATTTTTACTGCTTTATTTGAATTCTCGTGCTAGTTGATAATTAAAACCAAACCCAGTCATCTGAATTAGTATGTTTAGGTATTTTATTCCTTTTTGTGTTTGAATAAACGTACAAAGTAATTCGGCTAACATTCCTCGAGAGACACTACTCGGTGTTCGAATCTTTCGATTCTACTCCGGAAAAATATTTGCAACATATAATTACCCGAATTACCTTCATATGTTTAAGATATAATGTCCATTAATTAATTTGATTACTGATAATCATGAATTAATTAATATAATATTGCCAAAACTAGCGCTCATTCATCACATTATTAATATGCCGGAATTTAATCCACCTGCAGGGTTTAGCATAACAAACCTTCATGAACTTACTTCGGAGACATCATCAAACTAACACATATGGTGACCGTAAATATCCTAACAACATATAGTACATACAATAATATTACCCAAGACAGTAAGTGTATTAACCAGTAAACTGAATCTCACCCAAGTGAATCAAAGTAATAATTACTGCATGCACATGTCTGTTTAATATCGTACGGGTTAAGAGAACGCAGTAATAACCGAGACTTAAGTTTGTTTACGATGATTAGTATAAAAAAATGTTACTTTCTGTGATCATATTAAATACATATTTGTAGTAGTGCAACTAATCAGTCAGTCTTGACTGTACTGTTGACACTACAACCGTTCCGATGGTGTGTTCATTTCCATCTTGGTTGTGAATCAATAATTCTTGTTTCTGAGTAATAAAGTGATCTCTTGTTCACCCGCTAATGAGCTATTTTATCTAAGTGCAAAACAATAGAACATAGAACTTGTTTAATCAAACATGATTTTCATTTATAAAAGGCAAAAGTGCAGTATTATCTAAAGCCAAGCTTTCAGTATATAACACTAACACAATTTTCTTGTGCCTCCATGTCGAAGGAAAAAGAAAAGGTGTTGGGAGGAGGTCGGATGTAAAAAGACTTAGTCTTATAAGCAGGGATGTTAGAAGGAAGCTCCTTAATAATGAGCTTCATTACCAGGGCTAACATAACGAGACCCAGTCTCGCCATTGCTTTTAATGTTTATCCCATAGTTAAAAAAAAAATCAGGATTAAGCTTCCCTAACCGACCCAGACACAAGATAGAAAAGAAAATCATCACGCGGATGGCAATAGGGGGTAGCTGATTGAGGTGAATATTAAAAGCGTGACTAAGAATAAGGAGATTATTAAAACCAGATAAGCGAAGAATGAGATGGACCTGGTCCTTAAAAACGTATAATACCCCACTGGAGGGCGGTTGTAAGAGTCGGAGGGCTTAAGAACTATGAACTCCTAACTCATAAGCAACTCACAAAACACCTTGAAATGGTTAGTTTCATCTGAAGTGGCATGGATGAAAGGGTGCAACCTAACTCTGTTGGCTACTCCTATCAAGTCGGTAAAAGAAAGAGAGACGTGACTTGGTCTATTTGAACTAGTAGAAAGGAAGACAATAGGGGAACAATCTGAAACTGATTAGGAGCCGTAAGGGATAAGGGAAAGTTCGAATCAGGAACCATCAACGTCAAGTGTAGTTCGAATTCGGTGGAGTCGATTGGGAAAGTGTCAACAAAATTTTGAAGCTCACTCCAACTGATCTCGCCCTTGGGTTGATCAACAAGAAATGACGTATGGGCCTCGGCTAGGGGCTCAAAGGATAGATTGACCATAGCTAAAAGGTCTGAGGACCGGTCGACGGTAATGGGTTTTGAGGATTGACCGACGACAATGTCTGAGGGTTCTGGAGATTAATCGATAACTCGATTTAGGTTGACGCTATGAACAATGCTCAAAGATTGTGACAACACAAGACAAGGATCGTCGAAAAAAGAAAAAGAAAAGAAAAAAACAAAATGATAGAAAGACGTAAGGAACGAGAGCTTAAGGAAGCGTACCCATGGTCGGGAAATCGACCTGATATGCTGGGACCTGAGAGATAGGATCGTCGCCGGATAACTTCTTCATTTTTTCCTGCCAAATAGTGCTGCCAGAGAGAGCTTTTGGAGAAGGAGGAGGAGCCAAAACTCAAACAAAGAGGTTAGGTTTATATAGAGGAGGAGAAAGCCCTAGAGATAGAAGGTCTGAAATCTGGAACTGTTGATCTCATATAATAAGTCACATAATCTATGGTGCACGGCGGACCTAGAAATTCAAAGCGACACCTCGAGATTGGGAAACGTTATGTTCGAGGAAGTCAGAAGAATGAAAGGACTAGACTGCTGTTGAGTACTCCGTATCTGTTAGGAAATAAATTGCTATCGTACAATATCAAGTGGATGGGCGCTAAAGTCGATAATATTTATGACTTCACGAGAAAGTAAACCCGTGGACCCATAAATAGGAGAGAGTATGTGATAGGTAACATTTGTAGACCCTTTTGGACCGAATCGGCCGATTCAGAACTAGAAATTCGATCCCACACGACTGTCCTCGATTCAACACGTCATCACATCAATCTTACACTTGAGGTCGATGTTGAGTCCGCTAGGATCGATCCCACGCCAAACAAGCCAGGATCGCCCTGTAATCATAATCCCAAGACTTCCCGTACAACAGATAAACGCCTATACATACAATGAGAGCATTAACTGCGAGAGGTTAGATGCATTTAATAGACAATAATTACATTACAACGATTTTCATCCTCTTAACCAAATTCTAACTTAAGCTTTAGAGGGTTTTGCGTCGAGGAAACTCTGGCACCTTTTTGCAGGAATCTCACTCAACCCCCATTCCAAACCAAAGACAGAAGAAGGACTCTATCTCCAGACCGAAGATCATTCCCGATTGGAGTAACTTACATCGGACCTTATCACTTCAAATATCTACTAACTTGGTTTTTTTTTTATTATTATTTTACAATAAAAATGTCATCAATTTTTCTACCATTATTATTATTATTATTATTATATTATTATTATTATTATTATTATTCAAATACCAACTTTAACATAGAAGTGTAATCTCATTTATCGAGTCCCTAGATTCAATTTACCTTTTGATCTTACGAAAGGAGTATCATATATACAGCTGAAGGTACAACCAGTCAAAGAGGGACGGGACAAGTCAGTCACACTCACACATAACCCTTTTCCTCTTTCGACTATATTAAAATTAAAATTAAAATGGCGAGGAAGCACAATTATCCCTCAGCTCCCGGACTCTCACAACCGAGACGCCGTCACTTATCCCACTTATTCCTAAATTTGATCGTCGACAGCTTAGGGTTTTTTTCCCCCATTTTTTTTTTTCAGTAGATCGTTTGAATTATCTATTTTATTTCGGGAAGTTTGGGGGATTTGATGGCGTCCGAGGATGTGAAGACGAGCGAGTCGGCCGTGTCCAAGATTGTGAATCTCGCGGAGGAGGCGAAGCTCGCGAAGGAGGAAATCAAGCCTTCTAAATACCAAGTCTACAGCATTTGCAAGTCCCTCGTCGCCGGCGGTGTCGCCGGAGGAGTGTAAGTGTTTACAACCTCTTTGAATATTAAGGTCTTACGTGATAATCTGCTCTATTTTTATTGTGATTTTCCCCTGATAATCGGGATTGATGTGTCGAATAAGAAAATGGTAAATTTAAATGTAATTTGATCCTTCCTTGTTTGATGAATCTTTGTGTTGCCCTGACTAGCTGGAAATTGAGTATCACATTAAGTGCCCCAAAATGTTACAGCAATGAAACTATCTCTTGGTGAGAAAGTGGAGCAGGGAAGCTTTGGATATCAATATAGGAATTCTTGTACACATTTCAATTGATCAAACGCGCCTATGAATGTTGTTGAGGAATTTACAGAGAATGTTGTTTTTATCTGGAATGAACTAGTAACAGGAGGATACATAGGTAGCATAAAGGTACTTTCTTGTTTGATTAGCATTTTGGGACATCTGCTTGTAGCTTGTAAAGCTGAATATTGAATATTTAGCTGCTGGGTTTCTTGTTAAGAATAACTTTGTGATCCTCGCAGGTCACGAACTGCCGTAGCTCCATTAGAGAGGTTGAAAATTTTGCTCCAGGTTAGTGATTTTCATTTTCTTCTACTTTCTATGTTTCTTTTGAAAGCACTGTGTCTAGTAAGGAAGCTACCCAGCAGCTCAGGAATCATCTGTACAGTAATTTAATATTTGACTCTGGAGTTTGTCTTTATTTTGCTTGGGACAGTTTTAACGATTTCCCATGATAAGATCATCATTCAGTATCATGAATATTTTTGAAATCATCTTCCATGAATATTACAGAGACTCCCACCCTCCCTCCCTCCCTCTCTCTCTCTCTCTCTCTCTCTCTCTCTAATATTCTAAGGTTTTCTCATGCATGTCAGGTGCAAAATCCACACAATATAAAGTATAGTGGTACTGTTCAAGGCTTGAAATACATATGGAGTACTGAAGGGTTTAGGGGATTGTTTAAAGGCAATGGCACTAATTGTGCCCGTATTGTCCCGAATTCGGCTGTGAAGTTCTTCAGCTACGAGCAAGCATCCAAGTACGTTCCTAAAATCCGATTAGCATAAAGTGCTCATGACATTTTAATTATCTCTTTTGTTTAACATGTCTGACAAAGTGCAAACATCCTTATTTGCTCTGCCCCTTAGGTTTTTGTGTGCATCATTTTTTATTTTTCCACGGTGAACTGTGAATTACATCGAGGAAACACTGCGATTAGTTTTAAACCTTTGGGCAGCTGTTTTAAATTAATTAATCTCCTTATTTCCATCTTCTCTTCATTTTTTTTTTTTTTTTTTT